TGTGTGTGTGTGTATGTTAATTTTATGTTCCACAAAAATACATAAAGTAAATGATTACAACATTTCATTTTTGGGTGAACTAACCCTTTAAGGATTGAATCTGCAATGCCAGTATGAAGCAGTTCCGCTTATAAAGTATTGGCCAGTAGACCACAGCAACTGCAGAGAAGCACCTGCATGTCATGCTTTGATGTCCTTTGATAATAATAGTTCCCTGAAGTGACATTTTAAATGAGGCAAAAAGCAAAACGCTTTTTTTTTTCTTCTCCAAAGTCAGAAATGGTTTCGCATAATGTCATTTAAAATTCAGTATATCAAGAAGAAGTGAATGCATTGAAAGAATTCCATTATTGTGGCCTTGAACTGTTTACTGACTATCTACACACATTCATAAATATAAATTAGAGTTTTGCCCTAAGCGGTAATCCCAGACTGACCAAACCCAGTCAAGCGGGTCAAACGTGTCACACTCATGTTAGATAAGGCTTAGCATAAACTTCTAGTGCCTGTAGAGTTTTGTGTATATCTGAGTGTGTGTGTTCATGACTTAATGCTGATAAGGAATAAAGATAGCTAAACCCTGTACAACTCAATATACAGTGCTACGATCACTAAAACAATACATTATGTTCACATTAGGTCACTCTTTAAATAGCTGAACAGGGTGATCTCCACTTGTAATACTAAAAATAACCACCAGACAGAGCAGTTGCTCATGTCTTTGCTAAGACAGAATGTCATGTTTTTTTGTATAAATAGTGGAAATGGTGGGAAAACTTGTATGAATTATGTTTGTAGGTAAAATGATTGTGTCTCATTGAGTCTTAATTGTTTGAGACCTTTCGCTCTAACAGTAAATACATCAAATCATGTAGAAAATAAAAGACAAGACAGAAAAAAATGTTTTTGGTACGCTAATTGCTCCCAAAAATACAATAGGATGTGGGTGTGCGGTCTCCTTGGTAACAGTGTGCAGACATTCTAGATGGAAAAACAGGAAAAGCAAGTAGGTGAGACTGCAAGGCCGTGTCAGATAGCACATTGTAGCTATTTTATGACAATTCAAATGTATTTTATTTATTTTAAA